CCACTGACACAGCCTTTCTAGCTGAGGATGTGACTCAGGTTAGAGACCTCGTGTTGGTAGCAATGAACTTGCTTCCTTGCCGTGAATCATGACGAGGTAATTAGCACTCCTTCCCTACTCCCTGCCCTCCTAACTAGGCAAGAGAAGGTGAGTTATCAGGAAGAGTGATTGATTTCTGTTTTTCAAATTCAGTATTTTCAGACTTTGCCTTGCTTTAAAAACCAGACAGAGATTCTGGACTATTTCTGTGTGTCCTGGACCCCTTTTGACAGTCAGTCTGGGGAAGCCTATGGAACACTTCTCACCATCATGTTCTTAAATAATTCAAGGAAATGCTAAAAGTTCAGCTAGAAGTGAATAATGATAAAGATTTTTTTTAAAAATCCAAGTTCACAGACCTCCCTGAAAACAATCCACGGGCCCCTCAGGGATCCCAGACATATGAGGACCTGAGTTCAAATCCCTAACCCTTGGGATCCCATAATTTAGAGTAGATTCATTTAAAAAAAGAAAAGGAAGAGAAAAAGGGAGGAGAAAAAAAAGAGAGGATAAAAAAGAAGAGGGAAGAAAAAGGAATGGAAGAGGAGAGGAAAAGAAAAGAGGAGAGGAGAATTCAGAGTAGATGAGTGATAGAAAAGTAGATAGTAAAAAGTCTCCCTAGGTGAGCTTCTCTCTAATCTCCTGTTTACACCTGTTTTTCTAGGTCTCTGTCCCCTCCCCCCCATTCTACTTCTTCCACTCAAGAGCCCAGGTGGTGGAATCAGAAGCCTTTGCCTCAATGTTATCTTCTGCATTTATTTGTTCTTTGACCAAGGGCAAATCCTCTAATCTGAATCTGTAAAATGGGCTGATACCAGCCCCAGTTGCTCTCCCTGCCTCAGAGGAAGTCCCTGTAGCAGTGTGAGCCTCCAATTCTTCCCTTTGGAAACCAGACGGTGGCTATCCCTTGACTTGATTTCTGATAAATCTTTCTTAAGCCAACACCTGGACAAAATAAGCTGGGTTAGGAGTGAGTTGGTGGGCTTCGATTTGGCCATGAGACTTCCGAAATGTCGGAGCAGGGCAGAAAGAGGTTTGTTCTTGAAGTCAGAAGACCTGGGTTCCTGGTCTGGGTCTGTTGTTTCAGTAGATGTTTGACCTTGGGTGAGTCACTGCCCTTTCCTGAGCCTCAGTTTTTTCCTGTGAAATGGGAAGAATAACATGTTTACCTCACAGGTGTGCTGTATGCAAAACATTATGTAAATTGTAAAGTACTCTATATGTGTGAGTTTTTACTTGATTCAACAACAACAATAGCTAGCATTTCTATGGTGCTTGAAGGTTTGCAAAGTAATTTATATATCTTGTCTCATCTGATACTCAGAACAATCCTGTGAGGTGGGGTGATAGCAAAAAAAAAAAAACGAAAAACAAAAAACCCCCAAATTTACAGTCAAAGGACCTAGGTTTAAATATTGGATCAACTAATTATTACCCTTACAACTCTAGGCAAGTCACTTAACTACTCTGGGCTTCAGTATCAGAAGGTGGATGGAGTCCACGATTGCAGAGACTCTTTCTGGCTCAGAATCTGCAGTCCTTAGTTAGGCCATCCATATTACATGTGCAAGCATACGGTGGGGGAGTGCTGGTACAGGGCCCTTTGAAAATCCCTGTTATCCATTGGCTGATTCACTGTCAAACTGTTTTTTTCTAGGGGGCAGCCCTCAAGTCACTTGGATCTTCCCCTTCGTGCCATTACCGCTTGCCCACCGCCATCACCAGAGAGTTTTCACCCAAATTTACTTTCTGGACCATTGTCAACTGAAAATGAAAAGAAAGCAAAACATTTTAGGGAATCACAGGAGCATTGCATAATAGATTTGGAGCTGGAAGTAACTGTAGAGACCATCTCATCTACTCCATTTTACAGATGAGGAAACTGAGGCCTAGTTAATATTGTGTTGTAATAACACAAACAATATTAGAGGTGGTACTCAACCTAGTTCCTCTGATTTCAGAGACAACGGTCCTGTCATAGTCACAGTTACAAAATATTTTAAGGGGTTCAAATTGCTGAACATAGCCATTAGTAAGTAGCCCACATTTATGGAGTGCTTTGGGGTTTGCAACACATTATACATATATTATCTCATTCCAACCTCACGTTAACCCAGTAAAGTGAGTGCTATTTTGATCTTTTTCATAGAAAAGAAAACTGAAACCAAGTAAGTTAGGTGACTTGCTCAGGGTCACAAAGCTATGAAGTGTGGGAATATTAAGGTGTGAAGTGGGGCTTGAGCCGAGCTCTTCTTGACTCCAAGACCAGCCTTCTATCCATGTATTTACCCAGTTGTGTGACTCTGGCCGAGTCACTCAACTTCTGGGCCTCAATTTCCCTATCTGTAAAATGAGAGGGTTGGACTCAAAGAACTCAAAAGTCCCTTCTATTTCTAAATCTACAATTCTGTGATCTATTCTTGACATTGTACACTAAGGATTTGCAGCTTTTTAGAAATCCAAACACTCCACCATTGTTCATTTTATTTTTCCAAACTTTACTCCTCCACCCCCCTTTTGTAAAATGGGTGACGTGCTTTATTTGTTAAAATTTTATATCGATTTAAACACTTTTTTTTGAGAATTCTATAGCATCATTGTGAATAAATCGATCATTCCCTGAATTGTGGCCAAACAGGGCTTGAGAACCCCGATCGTATCTGTGACCTGCTGCTCAGCACATTTGGTGGGAGCCAGCCTCACAGGAGCACTATCCTCATTACCCACATGAACACTACCAGAAGCCAGAGTTCTGCAAACTTCCTCACATTCTGTGGATGTTTAGAGGGATTCCTTTTTCCAGTGGGCCTCCCTGTCTGTCATTTCTGCATAAATACACTTCACCCAGCTTGAGCTGCCTTCTGGATAAAAAGGTAGAAATAGATGGACCTGCCATGATTAGAAATTCATTACTTTTTTTTTTTAAATAAGAAGACGCAAAATTCACCTTGCTTTGAGGTTTGATAGGCCAATGGTGCTTAGTATTCATGTTACATAATTCCTAATACTGAGAAAATTGAAAAGGCTTGTGGATTTCTTGTATCTGAAGATCTGGTTAGGGGGAAGACATATACATGGTTTAGAAAACAGAGGGGATTCTTTGGGAATAGAGCATCCTGTATAACGCTTAAAGAGATCCTGTACAAGGCTTTCCCAAGGGAAAGACTTCTTTGCAAACACTGTTAACCAACAACTTAATGTGAATATTAACGCTGGAGCCATCTACTGCCTTTATTCACTCTTTAATTCATTTAGTCATTCATTCGTTCACTCGTTTTAAAAAAAAAAACCCTTTCTTCGGTTCAAGATTCTCCTTTCCATATCTATTCTCAAACAGTTACGAAGTATTCCTGTCTGTGGTGACAAACCACAAAATATGAGTGTGATTTCTCATTGCTGTCAAAGCACAAGACTAAAGGGTATTGACATATCCATATTGTGAGAAGGAGACGTGGTAGGGGAAAGTGTGATTAAATTAAATTAAAGTTCATTGTTGTTGTACTTTGGAGATACACAGGATATGGAGGGGATGGTGGAGAGACCACATCTGCCTACTATAATGGAGTCTAACCAAAGCGATAGAACTCAGAAATGTTGTCCTTTATTGACGACTTTCTTGGGCACCGGAGATTCATGTAGGAAACCCCCATAATATAGATAACTTCCATTGGCATTGATGAAAATTACCCGTGTAATATTCCTTCCAGCCCACATAGAATGCCAGCCACCTTGGAGCATTTTTTAATTGTAATCTGACTCCCAGAATTCCACAGTGGAAAGAGTGCTGGCCCTTGAATCAAAGGACCTGGTTATCATCGTCATTATCTTCATCATCCTCACCATCATCATCAATCTATTTTATTTATTATTGTCATCATCATTATTACTAATGATTATAATAATAATGACTAACCTTACGTAGCACTTATCTCACTTGGTCCTCACAACAACCCTATGAGGTAGATGCTACTGTTGTCCCCATTTTCCTAATGATATATGGGGCTATGAGAGGTTAAAAAAAAGGACTTACTCAGGGTCACATAGCTGGTAAGTGTCTGAGACAGGATTCAAACTCAAGTCTTTCTTTCTGACTCTAAGTCTAGCATTCTAACCACTGTGCAACCTAGCCGCATCTCTGGATCTACTCGTGTAAACTTGAACAAGTCCCTTAAACTCTTTCAGCCTTAGTTTCCTCATCTGTAAAATGGGAGGAGCTAAAACTGAACCAGTCAATCAATCCACAAGCATTTGTTAACTAATAGCCACCGTGCTAGGTGCTGGGTCAGTCAGTCAGTCCACAAGCATTTATTAACTACCTACTATGTGCTGGATACTATGTAAAGCACTGAGGATGGCGAAGGCAAGAACACAGTCTCCATCATGAAGGAGTTCATATCCTTATGGGAGAGACGAGGAATGACATAACTAATCAACAATTAGTGCCATAAAGACATATGCAGCGTAAATGGAAGTTAACCTCAGAGGGAAGCAGAGAGGGGCACGGAGGGAGTGTGAGGGGTGGGGGACAGCCAGAGCAAATCCACAGAGTAAGGAGATGACGGCCTGGCACACATGAGGAGCCACATGTAGGCGGTGTAGCTGAATCTCAGAGCATGTGGAGGCTAGCAAAATATAAGAAAACTGAAAAGGTGGGGATGGGGCAGGGACAGGTTGGAGAGACAAAGAAAAAGATCAATTATCCCTGAAGGTGCTTAAAATTCAGCCAGCAACATCAAGTACCTATGTGTACAGGCACCAAACAGATTCGAGGTGATTTGGGGGGAAGGGCCTCACAGCTGGGGAGGAGGAGGGAAGGTCAGGAAAGACTTCACACTTGAGTCAAGCCATGAAGGAAGCTCATGACCTCTGAGGTCACTTCTAGTTTTATATTGATGAAGCTTCATTATCCTCCCTTCCCAAATGAACTAATTGCCTTTGCCTCCTTTTTTTTTTTTCTTCAGGCACCTCTGTAAGGAAGAGGAGCGCAAGGAAGACACATCCATGTTAACGGCAGTGTATTGACCCATCGGCCAAAGCAAGGAGGCATTCTTTTGACTTGGGCTGGACCCGTTGCCACCTTTGTTGGGGTAAATGAGGAATGGGCTTGTGATTATGCTGACGTCCCAGCATGCATTTGGTAGACCTGTGGTTAACTCGTTCCCTCTCCATGTGTCTCCTCCTACAAAGTTTTGTCCTCATGATACTGTGCTTTCATTCAGCCAGTATGTGTCCCAAAGGCTGTCTTTGTTCTTCCTCTGGAGGTTTAAATGTCACCTGTAGCAATGCGAACCTCAAGGAGATCCCCAGAGATCTTCCTCCTGAAACAGTCCTCCTTTACTTGGACTCCAATCAGATAACGTCCATCCCCAACGAGATTTTCAAGGACTTGCATCAGCTCCGAGTTCTCAATTTGTCCAAAAATGGCATCGAGTTTATAGATGAGCATGCCTTCAAGGGGGTGGCTGAGACCCTGCAGACGCTGGACTTATCCGACAACCGCATTCAGAGTGTTCACAAAAATGCTTTCAACAACCTGAAGGCCAGGGCCAGGATCGCCAACAATCCCTGGCACTGCGACTGTACTTTACAGCAGGTCCTGAAGAGCATGGCATCTAACCACGAGACAGCTAACAATGTCATCTGTAAGACTTCCGTGCTGGACGAACATGCCGGGAGGCCTTTCCTTAATGCTGCCAATGACGCTGACCTCTGTAACCTTCCCAAAAAGACTACCGACTATGCCATGCTGGTCACCATGTTTGGCTGGTTCACCATGGTGATATCCTACGTGGTGTATTATGTACGGCAGAATCAGGAGGATGCCAGGAGACACCTAGAATACTTGAAATCCCTGCCAAGCAGGCAAAAGAAAGCAGATGAAGCCGATGACATTAGCACTGTGGTATAGTACTGGGAATGACTAACTTGGACACGGAAATTAGTTTCGGGTTGCATTAGACCGAGTGGTTTACTTCCAACATCCATTGTATACATTTAAGAACTTTGCATTTCAGTTTAATTGAATTATGCCACTGTTGGACTTTAAATAAAAAAAAAAAACAGCTAACATTAAAATGATTTTAGTTTGGGTGGCCTACACCATAATTTTTCCTCTGGTGGTATATTCCTAAGTAAGCTACTATGTAAACATTAGTTAGATTCATTTCACTATTTAATAATGAAATTTATTTTTTTAATTTAAAACCAAATAAAAGCCTAACTTTGAACCATGTAAAACAGAGTAATTTATTGGACAGGGATCAATGCTATGGATTTACCTGCCTTTTCTATACTCAGAGTTGACTTTTATGGGCCAAAAGCTCTATTATAATGAAAGATGCATTAATACACCTTTCTGTAAATCAGGAGCTGTACCTGAGGCATCTACTGAATAAAGATTCTCTCTCAGTCTTTTTGAAAAAAGAAATAAATTTTTGTTGATAACTTTTGGTTTTTGCATTGCCTAAATGTACCTCATGTATCCTTCTCCTTATTTGCTCCCAGACTGACTTAGCTATTTAAATACTGACCCACCAAAGAACACCAAATTCCTTGCCTGCTTCCAACCAAGATCTTAAAGTTTCCGAGTATCTACTTTTCAAAATCAAGTATATGGGAGAGGGAATCTGGTGCAGGGGGGAGAGCCTGGATTTGGAGTCCCAGAACCTCCGTTCAAATCCTTGTTCTGTCGCTTAGCTACCTGTGTGACCTTGGACCAGTTAATTAGCTTTTTTGGCCTCAGTGTCCTCATCCGTAAAATGAAGGAGTTGGATTACGTGGCCCCTAGGTCCCTTTCAGTTCTCAACCTCGGGTTCTACGGCCTGTAGTATTCCTCCTGACTCTAAAAATCTCTATCTGCATATGACCCTATATGGCATTCTTTCCTTCCCCACCTCCTCACACTCCAAACAGGAAGTAGCTCCTGGTTCACTAGAATCATTTTATCAGAAAACCCAGAGTGGCATTTTGGTCAAGGGCAATGGTGCCAGTGATGGGATGGTCTGGACCTCATTACTCTCTCAGCTTGTGGGGCAAGGGGGAAAGGTGGGAGAAAGCAATCATTTTGGGTTGAGCCTGGACCACCCCTGGGCTCCATGTTGAAGCGAAGGGAGCCCCTTAGGGGGTCTCAAGGATCTTCCTGCAATACTAGATGAGACTTGGGCATCTCTGTAAATCCGGTAGGAGGAAGTCAAGGTTATCCCTGGAGCACGACTATCATGAAAACATTACTAAGAGATTGGTGCCCCCTGGGGGCCAGCATTATTAGGCACTTTTGTTAAAGTCTGTTGTGAGCCATGAAAAGCTGGGCTCAATGGGGCTGATAAGAACTTAAGATGTTTTTTTCATACACATGTATAGATGTAGATTATGTAGATGTATACAGACAAATGTCTATATATACACACAAATATACACATCAATTAGCATGTTAATTGTATGTATATTTCCACATATATCAGCATTATTTGATATCATAATCTTTAATTTCAAGGACTTAATGATTTTTTTTTTTGCTGGTATGAGAACCTACTTCATCTACTGCAGTCCACCAATAACTCCTCACAGGATCATAGATATGGAGCTGGAAGAGACTCAAAATCCATTTAGGCCAATTCTCTCATTTTTTACAGCTGGGGAAACTGAGTCACACAGACATGAAATGACTTGCCCAGGGCCACAGGATAGCAAATGGCAAAACCAAGTTTTGAACGCTAGATCTCTTCCTCCAAATAGAGCTCTTTTTTCACTGTACTCAGTCCTAGGGAGTTGTTTAAGGTTTAGAGAGGTTACCACAGTCACACAACTAGCTAGTAATTGTCAGCAGCAAAGTTGGAAACTAAACCAAGCATTCTGTCTTCTTTGCCAGTCTCTCACGCCCTCTTTCAAAGAAGACTTTTTTTTTAAAGCTTCCGCTTAATTCTTTCTTTTGAAATTTGTTCCTTTCAGGAAGGATCTTGAAGAGTAGACATCGTTATGACCACATTAATGGGGACTTATTTTCCTGACCGCTAAAAAATTACATAAGCATTAGCCTAGTGGAAGTACTTGTAAAGGCCAAATCAAATCCCTGAATAATGTTGTAAATCCCAGGGATGTGGGGGAAGTTACATTACTCGACTATTAACTTTTTAATTCTCTGCATATCTACGTCAAGGTCACTACATGGACAATTAAACATAGTCACTCTCTTATTCAGCCTACATTAAATGTTTAACCTCACACCAAGTATTCTTTCTGAAGCCTTCATGCAATATGGCTGGAAGCTGGAAATAACAGCAACTTCAAGATGCTAAATTAATTTTTACCTTGATAGTTGCTAATGTTTTTCTATTGGCACTGGTGTGAAATCCTTTGTTCATTCTGTTGTGCCGTGGCCAACTCCAGTGGGTCGCCAGGGAAGAATGCTGGTCACTTAGTCAATAATGTTCATTGAGCACACACCAGGGGGAGAACATGGAGGCAGATGCTGGGACCAACCCTGATGTGATTCTATGATGGTTGGCTCTTTCATACTTTTGATGTTTTTCATTTGCTTAAGTTTAGAGATGTTTCTTTTAGTGAAATCATTTTGGGGCAGAGGAGGCTGGAATCAGAGATCCTGTATGTAAATTCTAGATCTATTTGCTACCTGTGTGAGAGGCAATTTGCTTCCTCCATTGGTCCTCAGTTTCCTCATCTGTAAAATGAAGGAGTTGAGTTAGAAGGTAGGATTTAAAGCTTAGAGGAGCCTAGGAGATGATCTAATCTAGCATTCTCATATTATGAATGAGTCTCAGACAGATGAAGCAACCTTACCTAAGACCACACAACTAGTAAGGGTCAAAGGGAGGATTTGGGGTACAAGTCTTTCCGACTCCACTTCTGGCACTCTATTCAATACTCTTGCTTTCTCTAGTCTTCAATCCCATGGAGCTCTTGAGGTCTGGCTATCATCTAGCTATGTGAAGTCCAAACCATTTTCTGCGTTCATCCTCTTTAGTGGTGCAAGACATTTTATTTCCGTCTTGCTCCCACTGCATTTTAATTGCAAAATACTTCATGCATTCTTAGTCCAATCTTCCTGAATTGGACTTACATTTGGGATGAGTCTAAATCGGAGAACAAGCATTTCATCCAAAAAGGAATATAACACCTTTTTTTAAAGTGATAAATGGGTAATAAGATGTATAACAGAAGATTTAACTTCTGAGGGTACTTTGGCAAATCGCTGCATGTAAATGCAATGAGCCAAGTTGCTACCCCACACCACCTTGACTCACATCAGTTGTACTATCATTTGATCTTCTTATTTGCACACAACAGTGATGGTTCCTGGATTAACTAACACATGGTAGTTAACAATGATGAAAATGAAGCCAACACTTTTATTAACCATATTTTTTTCTGAGTCATTAGCTACTTGAAAAACTCTAACTCAACACACTTGGGGGGATGGAATTGACTTTTCTGATTAAAAGAGATGTATGCCCAGAAGATGTCAGCTATGCCAGTGAAGGACCTTGAGTTCATGTGTGTCAGGATCAATGGAAGGAATTGGGAATGTATAACCTGGACAAGAGAAGACATGTGGTGGAGAATGGGGTGAGGAGAGGATGACAGTTGTCTTCAAGTATCTGAAAAATTCTGAGGACATGGATTTACAGATCAGGCAGGTAAGGATGATTTACAATCTACAGCATTGAAGGGAATACTGATACTCATGCTGATAAGATCACAGACCACTAGCAGTATTTCAGAATGACATAGAACAGGGATTAAACTGCCTGGTCCCAGAGGGCAGACCTAGGAGCAAGGGGCTAGGGTTAGAAAGGAAAAGTTAGACTTGATACACAGAAAAGGATTCTTAACTATTATAACTCCCAGTCTTCTCTGAAACTTTATATATTGTAAAACCCGGGAGGGAGCCTTCTTCCACCTTTCCTTCTCTGCCAAACAACCTAAGAAATTTCTAAAGCTAAAACAAACATAAATAATTATAGCACTCTAAAGGTGGAATGGGCTACCAAGGAAGGTAATGGGCACCCCTTCATCAGAGGTCTTTAAATAGAGGCTGGGTAACCTCTTTGTTGATTAGAGAACTCTTTTTCAGGTGTGGATTGGATTAGATGGGCACTGAGGTCCTTTCCTACTGTGAGAGTCTAAACATATATGTAAGGAGATTTTATATATATATATATATATATATATATATATATATATGTGGGTTACCAACCTTTGAAACAGAAAAAAATAGAATTACATTACATATTATATATTACATTGCATTATATATTACATTATATTACAACTATTACATATCACATTATATATTCTATACAATATTAACATTAACATATAATATATTTAATATAGAATATATTATATGGAATAAACCTTATTCAGAATCTGACAGCACCTCAGTGTTTTAAAAATTAATGTTCTAAGTATTACTATAAACAATAAATCTGTCACCTAATGACCACCCTTTTGGGAATGAGATTTTCCATCTTTTGCTAGGTGGGTCTTTGGGCAGCAGAAGTAGTCAGTCACTAAGATTGTACTCAACACTGTTTTGGCTTCATTGAACTTATTTGCACTTACACAGAATCTTTAAGAACTCAGGGCCAATTATAATTGAACTGAAAAAAGTGCAATACGTGCTGAGGAATAGAGGTTTCCCATTGATAGCACACCAAACAAAACCAGCTTTTACTGTATTCATGAAAATGAAGAATGAATTGAAATTGATTAACCACATTTTCACAAGTGGTTTTTGGCTTTGATGAAAATAATCTGAGTTCACGCAAAACAATCATGATTATAATAGGAGTTACAGTGAAAAATATGTCTTGGATCTTTGATTTCATCAGTGGAGCCCTGAGGCAGATCACAACCCACCCAGAACTTAATCCATTAGTCTTAGAGAGTTGCCTGAGGCTCAGCTTGCAAATATTAGAGGCAGAATTTGAATGCAGCCCTTTGTAATTCCAAGGCCAGTATACTATCTGTTGTAAAATAATTTTGAGTAGAATTTTAAAATCACTCATATATGCAATAATTAGTATAAATGACTCTTTCCGTAAGGATTCCTGGGGGTGGATGAGTGGCAAATCTGTATTTCCCTAAAAATCTCACATGGATAATATGTCTTGGATGACAACAAGCTGTGGTCCCTGCTAGAGTTTTTTGTGAGATTCAACTTCTCAATGTACTAAATTGTAGGGAGAATCTTGGTGGGGTT